ATTTATAATAAACACAATTAGAAAGTTTTAAAATAAAATTTTTAATTTTATATATAAAATTATTATGAGTCAATTGTCATTTGTTGTGATTTATTATAATTTTAAAAAAAAATATTTTAAAAAAATTATTAAATACATATATATTTAAAAATACTATACGTCTATAAGAAAAATGTCTTAACCACAATTTCAAATATACATTTAATATGTTCACCCAATATATATATAAAATTTCATTACTTAACTTTGTTAGTGTAAAGAATTTAACTTATAAAGTAATTAGTTGAATTATTGAAAAAAATCTATTTTGTATCTGTACTATTAGGATTCAAACCCCAATTTTTCCTCATCTCTTTTTTGGGTTTCAACTAGTTGATATATCTTATTAAAAAAGAAAAAAAACTTTGTTACTGTTATAATCGGAATTATATCAACGACTGTTGTAATAACCCATAGAAAACGTTTTCGAAGACCGGCCTTGGGCATTCCTCTGTCATAGTTTATTAGTGATCACTGCAACTTAATAGGATTGTCAGTGAATTGTATTCTAATTAGTAATCAAATCTTATCAAAAATAAGATAGTAATCTAACTTTTAACTTTTAATTATTGCCATGTCAAAAAAAATAAACCGGCCTTGGTGGACAGTGACGTCTTTGACTCGATGTGTGTTCTCTTTACTCCTTTCCTTCTAAATTCTAACAAAGAAAAAAAAAATTGGGAGGGACCACAACAGTATATTACAGAGTAACGGTTGCACTAATTACTCACGTTAACAAGTAAAGAACAAAAACCCTTAAGTTCATAGATTAAACCTGAATTTAATTAATCACCTATTTATATTTGCAAGGGTACAATCACTACAAAAAAATTCACATTTAGTAACTAAATTATTGATCATTAAATCTTTATTTTTATCACAAATTATTATTGATGATAAAATTTAAACCGTTAATAAAACTCTTGTCATTAATACTCTTAGTGATAAATTACGCACTTATCACTAAAAATAATCTTATAGTAATAGAAAAAATTAACATTCTTAACAAGTTATTTATAACAATTTTATTCATCACAAAAAAATATTTTTTGTTACAATAATTTTCATCACAAATGTTACAATTAAGTGA